CCTACTATTCCTTAAAAAGGACCCTATACAAAAAAAAAGAATAGGTTTAAAATGCAGGCATGTGGTTCTTAATTTCTTTTTATTAATTCACCATTTGTAAACTGATGTTTACTGTTCAGTTTTTTTTAGAAATATCAATAGCATTTGTATTAAAACTATATTCACTGAATGTAATAAAAAAAAATCGAGAATTGAATCGAGAGCTTGCAAATCGAAATCGAATCGAATCGGGACATCTGAATCGATGCCCAGCCCTAGTCGCGTAAACATGACTGAAGACACGAAAAGCGGAGGAGCAGAAAAAACGATTCAATTGAGTGAGTCATTTACACTGGAACCACTCCGATTGATTCAAACTCGATCATTCAGTTCAAGCGATTCAAAAGAGCCATTCATTTAAGAATTTCGACATCACTTGTGTGTTTAGTGAGCTTTTCGAAACTCCGAATCAGTTAAACTATTGCACTGCAAAATGATTCACTGTTTCAAAGCGCTCCAATCAGATCGCGTATCGCGAATCATTTGATTTAGATCAGAACCTCAGAACAGGTTTGTGAATCTATTGACTTATATCGGAACTTTAGAGCATGATTCGCACTCCAAAGTCCAGATCTTTTTTTATTATTATTATTATTATTGAACATATTTTACAAAATATACACAATGGCACTAATAAATGCAAATAAACAAGTATTAAGCAAGGCACATATTTATAAATAAAAAGAAATAAAGATGGGAAAAGGGTCTCTTCATTCCTTTGCAAATAAATCGAATTCTCTTATTATACCTACGAGGTTCTGGGCAGTTTTACTTTTCATATATTCAAGTGATCGAAAGTAATTAGAAATAAATTCTCTTTTAAAAACATAAAAATAAGGCTTAGTAGTGCTGGGTGGTATACCGGTTCATACCGAATACCGGTGTTTATTTTTGTTATGATATTAATTTTTAAAATACCGCAATACCGGTGTATGTCGCTTAAACAACGTTGGGAACGCGGCACTGTTTGAAAGGGGTCCCTTTTCACTGTTGCACTGTGGTGAGGGAACAGCTGTATGTGTTACTAAGGGTGAAAATTCCGAAACTGAAGCTGTACAACTAATAGAACGTGATGACACAGAAGAACTCATCCACAATATCCACATTGACCGCCACAAATATCCACTGCCCCCTGCCATCAGCTCCCGCGTCTCACAAGTGCGACTTCAGCACTAGATTTAGCAACTTTCAGACCCTTTTAGCGGCTTTTTCCTGCTATTCCGCTATAGAATATTCATGCTGACAAACCTAGCTACTTTTTTGGATAAACCTTAGCTATGGTTCAGTTGGAAGATTTCGCCAGTGCTGTCCCGCGAACGCGAGGTCTGACTTTCCCGGAGAAGTGTCACCTCTCTCGGCGTCTGTTCTGTGCAGTGAGCGGCAGAGAAGCAGCGAATTCAGTTGGCTGCACCGCAGCCGACTCGTCAATAAGTGATGTTTCTGCAGTATTTCCTCTCAATCAGTAGAAGATATGGTTAACACCCGGTCATGCATGAAAAAAAAATACCGTCATGTACCGTGAAACCGGTATAATTTTGAAAAATACCGTGATATACATTTTTGGTCATACCGCCCAGCACTAAGGCTTAGTCTTTATACATTTTCATTTGTGAATAAAAAAAATGTGTCTGTTTAGCAGTCAGTGTGCGTGTGCGTGTGTGTGTGTGTGTGTGAGTCTGTGTGTATGAGTGTGAGTGTGTTTACCTGCGTGATGGAGCTGAGTGTGGAGGAGGTGTGTGTGTGTGTGTGTATGTGTGAGTGTGAGTGTGTGTGTGTGTGAGAGAGTGAGTGT